CCCCAAAACCCCAAAACCCCAAAACCCCGATGTCAAAATAATATTTTGAATATTAGCATTCAACATGGACAAATAATTTTTATGGTTTAAAGCTATGATACTTCAGTTCTGTAAAATCCATGCTTTTTCAATATTTTTTTCAAATTCTCTTTGTCTTCAGGATAATAGATTGCTCCAAATTCTCATAAGTTTTTCTTGAAATCTTGCGATTTCGAGAGTCCTTCTACCAAGTTTTCTAAGCCATTCATAAATATTTTACCCCTTAGTGCGCCATTTATTGTTCAAAAATTTAATGTTAATGATCTGAGTTTAGGAGAAGCTAGACTGAATGCTCTTCTCGCTAGTACTTTCATCTAAAGAATTCCAGAAGCTAGGTACTTTAGGAATAGAAATGTTGCACTGTGAAAAGAATATTCCACTTGTATTCCGACAGGCAGAAAGAAGCCTCATCAATGGCGATAGGCTTATAGTTACACCAGTAATGCCTACTCTCGAGGTTACTTTATAGCTGGTATTCAGGATGCTTTGGAAACATTTGCTCTTCTCAATTTGCACATTATTACAAAAACTCAAAGCCAATGATTGCGCTCTTCTAGGGAATGAGTTTCAAAGAAAATTTCTCAGAGCAGGGAGGTTTTCAGAGCTTATCTTATCCACAAATATTGTCCTTACATAAGAAAAAGATACAGACTTAATGCTCTTTAAGAATTGGACATGTCGATAAATACTTAGGTCTAGAGTTCTAAATAAAGCTTTAAATATCAGTTGGGTACCACTCCGGTTAATTCCTCCAGAAGAGAACGGAACGCTTGCTTGTTAATATCTCTAGATTGTTTCTCAAGCCTTTTCTCGAACCTCACTTTAATCCTTCTTTCATCTTTATTTTGGCCTAAAAATGTTATGGACTACTCTAAAGTTTGGATAGCAATAAAATAATGCTCAAATTAGAAATTAAAAGGTGGGTTTTCAAGCAAGATTATTGGGGTTTCACTTAAAGAGAAAATAAACCCAAAATTGATGCATTTAGGCAATACATTATGAATGAGCTAAGACAACAAAACAAGATACATGGGCCGTCAGCATGAATCTTTTGCTGGTCTTCAATCATCTGAATCATTCTATGGGCTTGCTTTAGAACGTCTCTGAGTTCTCCCTCCAAAAACTCGTGTGTTTCCTTGCAGTCAATATAGGAACTTATACGAAATATAATAATGGTGATATGGACAGGATTTTGACTGATCATATTCAAAACTTACCTCCAGCTAGGTTTTAGGAATATTTCTGGTCTCTAACTCCTCGAGATCCAAGTCATGCAGCTGAATCTTGGAGGACAAAACACAGCTGTAAATTTGGGGAATCCTTGCTTTAAAATGCTTATTCTGGATTTTTGAATACATCTCCAAAACAGTTCTTTGTAATGAGATTTTTTGGCAAATGCTCTCATGCTCGGCTCTCACTCTATGCATTATTAGATATCAATCTTACTTTAGTAAAACCATGCTTTGTTCAGAATTCATCTTATTTTTCTGATGAAACTCTAGTTTACTTTGATTTTCCCCCATTTATATATAAATTCAACAATATTTATTTATCACGGGGTTTTGGGGTTTTGGGGTTTTGGGG